CCATTTCTAAACTGGAACAGCAGTGGCCATTTCTTTCTGCCCTCTTCTTCCTTCTCTTCCTCTCCTCTTCCATTTTTAACTACATTCCTGGTGGCATATTTTATTATTGCAATTATCTGCAACCCATTCCCCCAATGTGTGAAGTAGGGTTGATACCATTGTAATTAAACCAGTTATTAATAACAGGAAAGGAGCAAAGGGAAGGCCACATTTTATAGGCATGTCATGTGGGCGCCACCAGTCTATTCCCTGCAGATCGCTGGGGGAAGGACTGGACATGGGGAGAATAGATGCATGCCTAGTAGAGTTGCAGTGACATTGGGAAGGTACTTGCTAGTCAGTCACACCTGGGAACAGGTCATTGGCCAGAATGGATGCGGCCGCTACCAGTGCGTGGACATTGGGTGTACTTAACTTCCTGAACGAAGAAGTTGGCCCTCCGGGTTTCTCTGCACACGGTGTGTGACTTGGGCTTGCAGGGCTCTCTCACTCCTGCTTCCTGTATTCGCCCACAGGCCGTGGCCATGTGGACCCCCACGCACAGTGGACTGCAACTAGCCTGATGCTGCATTGGATCCAGCTCCAAAATGGAATGGAAACTGGACACTGGCTTTGCCTCTAGCCGTATTGAAACTCCAGCTACACGTTTATGATTGGAATGGGACTTTGAAAACCCAGGGATGTAATTCTAAACACAAATCACTCATCCTCCTATGTGAGTCTCAAAAAATTATTTTTCCCAAGATATCGTAAGGACCCCACCCCCAGCACTCAGTAGGGAAGAGGATATCCCAATTTCTCCAATAACAGACCAATAGCTAACTTGGATGGATATATATTGTATGAGTGAGAAAAATACATCTTTCTGTGTAGAACTTCAAAAGGCGCAGAGATTTTGTTACCATGGCATGTCCCATCAAGGCTGCTATTGAGCCTGAATTCAAATATTGGCTGTGGCAATTACTGGCTGAGTTCAGATCTGAGTCTGCTCTTTCTGTGAAACTTTGGCTTTCGTTTCTGTAAAATGAATTACCAATGGTATCCAGTTCTTAGGGACATTATGAGGATTCAATGGCTTAAAAGGGCTAAATGAGTTATTATTTATAAAGGGGTTAGAATAGTACCTAGCAAGTACTAAAAACTGTATTAGTGTTTGTTAAATAAATGCATGTGTGTGTTTGTGTGTATATTTTTATAGAACAAATTCTAGGAAAGTATACAAGAAAGTAGTAACAGTGACTTAAATCTCTTATTTTTTTAGCCACATATTCTAGTTTTTCTTCAACAGACATGTATTTCTGCTGCATTAAAAAAAAATCGATTAGCCCTGGCCGGTTTGGCTCAGCGGTTAGAGCGTCGGCCTGCGGTCCTGAGAGACCCGGGTTCGGTTCCCGCTAAGGGCGCGTACCTCGGTTGCAGTTTGTCCCCGGCCCTGGTCGGTTGTGCGGGTGGCAGCCACTCGATGTGTTCCTTTCACATCGATGTTTCTCTCTCTCTCTCTGTTCCTCTCTCTCCCTCCCACTCTACCTGAACAAAAAATAGAAAAATGTCCTCAGGTGAGGATTAAAAAAAAAAAAAAAAAATCGATTAAACAACTCAAGTACTTTGCACTGAGAGTCTGTTTTTGTTTTTGTTTTTTTAAATGTAATTTAAAAAATGTATTGCTGGTTTCTCTCAAATTTTATTAATTTTTGTTACAGATGTTTCTCCCTTTTCCCCCCCCAGACACCCTCCTCCCCATCCTGTCCCCCAACCCCCCAGCATTGTTGTCTATGTCTACTGGTTACACATACATGTATATAAGGTCTTTGGTTTATTATGATTTCATTATATCACTTCCACAGGAACATAACTGTAATTTTATTATAAAAGTCAATAGAAAAAAACAGGTAACAGTGTGTGGAAGTTCTATTAATGGCAATTTTCTTGAACCATGGAGTGGGTGACACATGTAGCCAAAATCTTGAGAATGAGATTGAATGTTTAATTATAATTATTCATATGTTATTTTGTATGTGTGCTCTGAAAACGTTTTGATTTCTAATATCACTGGAATTTGTCTCCCTAAATAAAATAAAGTTGTTTAGTCATTAATGATTACACCCTGCTTCTCTCGGCCAGGCTCAAAACTCAGTGAAAGATGAGCTCTGGCTCTAATATTACAGCCTTGGGGGAGCCAGACCAGGGAGGAGCAGCTTTGCTTTTGATGGACAAGGGTAGGGGTGAGACCAGGTCATTTGCTGGGACTGTTGTCATTGCAACAAACTTTTTGCTGTCTGCATCCGACACCTTTTATTTGCCCTGCTGGGAAGAAGCCTTGGCAAGGATTTACACAGAAAAACATGACCCAAGAGCAAGCAGTAACCTCTGTATCTGTGCCTAGCCATAGCCGCTACAGCTGGAGAACTCCATGCCTGAGAACCAGGACAGGAGAACAACGGGACATTTCCTTTTTTATTCTCTATACTCATCATATGGGCTTTTTGGGGTGGGGTTCTTTGAGTCACTTGGGGAGGATGCAGAAGACTCCTATGAATGGTGCAGATTCTATAACAAGGAGGTCAGAAAAGGCTTTCCCTAGGAGGTAAAGTCTAAAAACAAATGATTGAATGAAATTAAGCTTGTGTGTGTGTGTATGTGTGTGTGTGGGGGTGTGTGTGTGGAGGGGCTTATTCCGGATAGTGGAAACCGCATGCAAAAAAAGCTCAAAGTAATAGCATCAAAACTATCAAATAATAACAAATAAAAGATCTACACTGAAAATGATAAAACATTGCTGAGAATAATTAAAGAATTAAGTACATTGTAAGATATATCATGTTCATGGATTTTAAGATTCAATATTGTTACATTTACTAAATGTAAAAAGCTAGAACCATAAAGCTTCTAAAAGAAAACATAAGAATCTTCATAACCTTAGAGTGGGTAGAAATTTATTAGAGAGGACACACAAAATATTAACCATAAAAAAATATAAATTAGGCTTTATGAAAATTCAAAGATTCATTATGAAAATGAGTAGGTAAGCCACAGAATGAGAAAAACATTCTCAATGCATACATCTGACAAGGACTCAAAGCTAGAACATATAATGAACTCTTATAAATCAACAATAAAAAACCGCAATTGACCTAATTTTACAAATGAGCAAGACTTGACCAGAAACTTTATAAAATGATGCTTAACATCACTAGTCAGCAGAGAAATGAAAATTAAAACCATGACGGAACACCAATTCACACCCACAGAATGATTAAAATCAAAAAGACTGACAATATCAAATGCTAGAGAACTAGAACTTTCTTATATTGCTGGTGGGAATATAAAATAGTAAAGCCACTTTGAAAAACTGTTTGGCAACTGACATTCATTTATTTAATGACCCAGTAGTTCCACTACTAGGTATTTATTCAAGAGACATAAAAACAGATATCCACAAGAAAGACTATACAAGAATATTTGTAGGCCTCCTTTATAGTATCCTCAACATTGAAACATTCCAAATAAATACCAATAGGAGAATGGATAAACACATTTTGATATATTTATATAATGGAACACTATGTAGGTATAAGAAGAAACCTGATACCCATAACAATGAATATTTTTCGAAAAATTCTGTTTAGCAAAAGAAGCCAGACACAAAAGACTACATACTAAATGACTTGATTTATTTGAAGGACAAAAATAGGCCAGACAAATGTAGGGTGAAGGGTATTGAACTGAACGGGACATGAGGGGACTTTCTAGGCTGATGGAAATCTTCTATATCTCATTTCTGGTGGTGGTTGCATGGGTGTATACAGTGGTCAAAACCTCTCACACTGAACACTTCACTCTGTTATTTTATTGTCTGTAAATTATACCTTAATTTAAAAGCATGGTGTGTTTATAGGTGCAAATGACTAAAAGACTTAGGGCTGATCATTAATTCTTTTCTTATATTTTATCCCAGAAAACAAGAGTTCAACTCCGCCTCCCCCCCATTTTTCCTGCATTTTAATCCACAGTGATGAAAGAGTTATGTATTCAAATCCTTTCTCCTCATGGCATGTCATACAGGGTTGAAACCATCAAAATTGATTAAATAAATCTTATCTCAAATGGAATAACCTAGGATCTGTAAAAATCAACTTGCAGATCGTGAGAAAGAACATGCCATCTGTCTTTAAAAATTCTGGCTGATGGAATAAGAATCTGGGTAGAGGCAACTATTCAATCAGCTTATATAGTCTGTACTCCTCTTACCTCTGATTTACACTCAGTAAGTTATTACCCTCACAAAATATGACTAATATGTGAAAAACAAATCCTGTGACCATACGTTATATTATCATATAAAGAACTTAACTCATTCATTAATCCTTCTCTTCTGGCTGATTTCCTTTAGGCAAGGTGTCTATTGCAAATTCATCTTTGAATCCTTAGAAGAACCTGGGCCAGGGTCTTGAAAATAATGGATCCTCAATAATTATTTAATCAACGTATTTACTGATTAGCTGGAATTTATGTCCAAATTACATGTGCCCATAATGGGAACTATACCACAATTATTTTATAATGTCTTCATATAAAATGTTTGAGCCAGAGATGATCTCGTTAGGTGATTTATAGGAGGTATAGTTAAATGGACCACATGAAATATTACACAAGTCCAATTCACCCCAGCTTAAAAGTTTAACCATAATGTAATTACCCGATTAGATTTTTTTTAATGATAGAAAAAGTACAATTATTAGAAATATAAAAAACAAACAAACCCCACCGAGTCTAGTTTTGGTCCCCGCTTGGGTATCTCAATGATTATAAAGGCTGCAAGTACACTGTTTTGAATTGAACACATTGGCCAGATCAGAAAAGCTGTGAACTGAGAAGGAAATTGTTATTCTAGTGATGGAGCCTCAAGTAGAGAGTGTTACTCTGCTGGCAGCTGAGACTTCAGGAGATTCTCACTATGAAAACCAGTGGTCTTTTAATCACACATTATAAAAGCATTTGCAATGCGTTGCAGGCAGCCTGTCTTCAAAGATTTCCCTGCTGCTTTCCTTCCTGAGCACAATAGGTTCAAGATGGCTAATGCTGTTTCCTACTTTGCCAAGAACCTCCTAAATGCCACTGGGCTTTCATCATGAAGACAAATGGCAAAACAGCCAATGGGAGTATCTCATTCTAAATGGGGACTCCCACGATCATGTTATTTTTGGGAGAGCAGCTCTCGGGCTCCATGGATATCACTTGAACAGAGTAGCCACGTTCTTCCGCAGCTCTGGCTCGGTCCAGATCCACCAGACACATGCACTGTTTTCCTGAAAGAGAGTCAATGGCATCATGAGACACGGTTCAGCTAACAGTGTCATTTCAACTCGTTCAAGGGACTCTGTACGGTGACAAAATCGATAGGTCTACGGAGACTGCTGTTTGCCCCCGAGTCCTGTTTAGTGTCTTTCAATTTCATTCTTGATCAGTATGGAGAGGAAACAATTACAAATATATAATATTTCAAAGATTTGTTTCTGCTAATAATTTAAAGAATGTTAACCTCCTGAAATGTATTTGTCAACAAATCTCAAAACTACAGATTCTTTTTCCCACTTTGGTTGAAAATCCATGTAAAGACCTTTTCTCTTCATGCACTCTGAGAATACATTATCTGTAATATTGTGAAAAAAAATAATGTGTCTTTAGGAATATCTAAAATCACATGCAAACCAAGGGACACCTGCAAGAATGTTGCATTTTGCACCTGGAGTTTTCAGGACACTAGGAAGTGAGAAATAGAAAATATTTGTGAAAACTCTCCATTGTGTGCTGATTATTTCAGGGGAATGTGTAATGTTGTGTGTAAGACAGTCTTAATTTTCAGAGCTCCTTCACCCATATGAAACAGTGGTATTCAATTTCCTTTGTAATCTTCGGAAAACAAGAGAAAACCTGACTGGCAAGCAAAGCAGCAAATCTGTGTTTGTTTGGCCAACTTCTATTTCCAAAGCAGCTCAGGGAAAAAAAACGGCTTGGGGTTGAATGCATTCAAAGTTATGGCCTTTACACTTCCAATTTCTTTAAATTTAACATATAAACTTCTTCATTCTCTTGGAAAAGGGTTCCTGACTCCATAGAACTTCATTCATTCCATTTTCCTCAATAATTATGATAATACCTAAGCATTATTTCTCAGTGATTTATTTAAATATACAGCAGATACTGCTAAACAAACACAGCTTCAGAAGTGAAGACAGAACACTGAAATAGAAAAGTTCTTCTGTGGAAGAAGAATCCTCACAGAAAAACAGTGGAATGTGAAATCAGTAGGTGAGAGTTGGCAGAGAGACATTCAGATTTAAAATATTTTGTATATTTTCCTTCAAACGCTCATGCCAAAAAAAGATGAACTGTGTTAGAGTGATATAAAAAGAAGATGTCAAGAATTCCATTTAGGCTAAATCACCCTCTCTTCATCAACAGCCATATGGCTAACATTTTTTTCCCCCTTAAACTACTGTTCCTCCTTTAAGAAGTCTGCAAATGACCCCCCCACCCACACCCCCATCTACTTTTCAATTTAAAAGGAAACATTCTCTGTCAGATGGGATGCTCTACATTCCTTCAGTACCCACCCTGGGTTCACCCCACAGCTCATTTAGCCTTGGCTTTGATCCCAGTCCAGCTAATTTCTCCTTTTCCATTGTGCAGAAGAATCTCATGTTTTCACATGTTGAAGCAGTATCTTTACAACTGCAATCCAGTTGCGAGTCTACCTTTTGGGGTCTGGGAAGCTTCCTAAAATGTTCCCAGAACAAAAGCATGACCTGTGCTAAGCACAGATGTAGACACTTGATGAAGCCTCACTTTGAACCCAACGCCCTTCCTGCCAGTGATCCTACTGAAGGCTTCTCGGCCTCAACCTTCCAGCCACTCCTCCTGCTTCAAAGCCTGAAACATCAACCATGTGCACCCCTGTCCACCACACCAATTATGTCTTGGAGTCTAGGGCAGGGATAGCAATTGTAATTAGATGTATACGTAAATTATACCTCAGTATGTAAATTAGACTGTGCATCAAAGGTACATTCAACTAACTCAAAGTGTTGGGAATGGGAAGAGGAGGAGGAAGAGGGAAAGAGAATGAGAGAGAGAGAGAGAGAGAGGCAGAGAGAGAGAGAGAGAGAGAGAGAGAGAGAGAGAGGCGGCAGGCAGGAAGGAGCAAGCTTCTCCCATAAGTTAATGCCCCAGCGTGTGAGGAAGAGAAGGGAACCACTTGTTCCTTCAGCCTCAGGTCTCAAACGCCTCTCCAGTGTTAAGTATCTTGCTATGCTGACTTTGATTTTAGAGTTGAAAGGTAACTAGTTCTCATATAACATGGTCCCTGAATGAAAGCTAATGACTACATCTGGCGCTCAAAGAAACAGCAATCTGTTTTCCAGACCAGGATGGTTTCCAATGTGGGGCTTTTCTAAATAAGTTTTAAGACTAGTTTGGACTCCACTCTATGATATTAAGCCCTAATTTTGGGACCTAGTCTCCCAGTGGTGTGACTCTGTCACTGGCGGGCACTGCAAATGTAGGTAAGAGCTTCGTGTGTGGGATCAAATAATTAAGGTTCATAGTGTGACTGTCATCTACCAGCTGAAGGATCCTGGGCAAGTTTTTGTCCCAGTTCTTGTCTATAAAATATAAATACAGTAATAGTATGTTATTTATAACATAATGGTTATGTTATAAATAATACCCCATAAGTATTTTTATAAGAATTTACTGAGATAATGGGTGGAGGGCGTTCGGCTCAGTGTGTAAATGTTCACTGACTCTTAGCTGCTATTATCCTTCTAAATGGTATTTGTTTTTCTAACGCAACGTCTTGGATATATTTATTACTTAAACTTGAAATGCTATTGTAGTTTCAATTTAGGTAACTATGATTAATAATATACAAGTGTACTTTTTTCCAAGAAAGACATTATCATCCTTGTTTATACATTTTAATGCTTCAGTTTTGTCATGCATAGTTGATTTTCTCATCTTTATTATTTGTTTATGTGGCTTTTGATAGCACCTTCAGTTTGTTCACAATAGTAAGGAAGACCTAACCTAGTAATTCTACTCAATGTACAAATATTGAAGATGTGTTTAATTTGAAAGTATTGTTAACAAAAATGAGATAAAGTGTTGCAATTGTTACAAAGCCATTTTCAATATGAATTAAGTTTTCTGGGAAAAATAAACTTGAATTTCTTGTTGATAAATGAAGAAGTTTCCCTATACAGAGCCGCTCCGTTCATTCCTAGGTCTCTTGCACATAATCTACTCAACAGCTGCAGTGGAAACACATACCTATGAGCCTTCGTTGGGGTGGGAGCTGGACAGCTGTCTGATCTGCAAATCGGCACAGAATCATGTGTTCCTAAAAGAACAAGCAATAGAATGTGGGTTCGTTTTAATCTTTGGCTTCAAAATTAGAAAATTTTTTTTTAAATGACCTAATTTTCCTGGAGTCTATATTCTTTAATTGAGTAAAGTGCTGTACAAATAGTACTTTTGAAATGAGCAAATTTTCAGCAAATGGTGCTCAGTAACTTCTTCCCCTTCAAGTAGACAGCTCTTTAGACGTAGTTCTTACGAAGAGATGCACAAAAGATCCTCAAGGCCATTGAACAGTTGCTTTTAGCAGGGACGTAGTTGCAGTGGGTGATTCTAACATGGTAAACTCAAAGACCTCAAATTCATTTACATTTTTCCTTGAATAAAATTTGAATCCCAGAGATGTGGCTCCAAGAAGACATTCGAAGTGGCTCTTCTCCCCACTGTAGAGGATCACGGCGGTGCTCCTGTGGTTAGTTCTCTGGATACCCACAGAGAGCTGGCTCCTCCTGTCTTTCCCTGCTCTTCCCTTCGCTCAGTCCTTGCGAAGGAGGGGAAGCTGGCCCTCCTCTCCCTCCAAGAGACTGCCTAACAATGCTGGGGAAGGCTGCATTGATGAAAACAGAAGAAGGCTTTAAAGGGATGAGAGTGGACGAGTCTGCACGGCACTCTCGTATCCACAAGTAGCCGAAGGTGAGTGATTTGTTGTAGTGGTGATGCCTGCAGTGCTCCCATGACAACTGTTCATTCAGAACAGCTGCAGTTTCTAAGTGTGTACATGATCTCACCTGTCAGCTGAGCCACCGGGTTGAACTCAGCTTCATCACTTGTCTCCTTGGTTTGCTGCGCATTCAGTTTGCAGCTTCCATTTTCAATAAGGTAACTGCAATGAGTGTGCAGCGCTGGTTCTTTCTGAAGGGCCAGCTTTTCCTCACCTCCAGTGCGTTTAAACAATCACGTCAATGCTCACTATAAAATTTAGTGGCAATGTGAAGGGTACTAATAAAGTGGTTCAAATAAATAACTCATGTTATTTATTATGTTAAGCTTCCATAAATTGGTATCAAGAAGGGGCAGAAGAATAACTTAGAATTATATAATATGAAGAAAAGGCCTCATGGTGTTTGTAATTTAGATTCCTTTTAATACAGGTAATATTGAGGCAATCACAACTTCAGATAAAGTTGCTTCTCTTGTCCTAATAAATCCCACCCACAGAGAAATTATTGGAATTATCTGTGTATGTGTTTTCCCTTGTAGAAGTTAAATTCTGAGAGGGGGAGGCCCACAGTAGGTATTCAGTAAAGGTTTTCTGGCTACCTGAACATGGAGAAAAACATTTCCAAAGTGACTCTCATAATATCTGGGCACTAAATCCATGTAGTTCTGTCTGCCAGCCCACCCATCATGGTTAAGTGAGGAAATACTGAGAGCATCTTGCTGCAGTATTCAAGAAGACTTCTCTAGAGAGCATTTACATCTGAGACCTTCTAAAAGGCTGGTGGCCAAGCAGCTTTCGGGGGTGTGGGAGAAGGAGGAGGTAAAGATGAACTGGGTACCAGAGAGTTCTCTGTTCTCTGGAAGAGCCTGGGTGCCCCATCTCTTTTGACTTTAGAAATTTTTCTTTCTTTTCTAGGCAGTGAGACTACAGCACCCAACTTCATAACCTAGGTCTTTTCCATACATTCTCTCAGTTTGCTTTACCTAGCATCACTCAAGGAGGGATTAAAAACAAGGGTCCAGTTTTTGTTTATTTTTCAATTCATTTTCTATTTATTAGCAGGGCCTTGAGAGAGAAATGTGAGCTGTTTTGAATCTTACAAAAATAAAGTTCCTGGGATCCTAATGTTTCCCCCAAAACCTTGTAGTTCCCTAGGATATGAAAACTTAAATCCACTAGGCAAGGATGAGAAAAAGTTCTGACTCTGAATAAAAGCATGAACAGGGAAGTTTCTCTCCCCTCCACAGGTTCTGTCTGTTCATGGATGGGTGCAGGTCGGGGGTGGGGAGAGGTGAGAGGTGAGAGGTGCGAGGTGAGGGTAGGACACAGAATTGGAGCTGGGCATTTAAGAGGTAGAGGTGAAGGAGATGCAGGTGCCAAGGTGGTAGAATGAACATTTTTTTGGTCACTGTACCTATTCCACTGTTACAAAAAGAAGGTAAAATGCCTAGAAGGCAGGGGCTGGTATATAAAATAATACTATATATTTTTAGTGAGTCCATGCAAGAAGTCAAATTAACCAAACTAAAAATCCAATCTAATTTATTAATTTTTAATATAATTATTTATGTATTTCTCTCAAATATAATAATTTCTTAAGTCATTTCATGTCATTTTATTAGTCATTTAATTAGTTAATAGTGATGTTCAGAAAGCTGGAAACTGGGGATTCTGGTCAAGATGGTGACGTAGGTAAATGGGGTATTTGCACCTTCCTACAACCCCATCAAAATTACAACTAAACTGCAGAACAATGATCATTCAGAACCACCTGAAATCTAGCTGAATGAAAGCCTTAAAACTAAAGATATAAGAACAAGCCACATTGAGACTGGGAGGAGTGGCTGGTTCCATACCCACAGTGTGGTGGATAAAAGCTGAGAAGTGGGCACCATATCTGAGTCTCCATCAACCTGGCTATCGCTGTTCATCCTGCCCTGGTGAATGCCTGCGATATCCCCCACCGCCAACTTGTTTCCAGTGGCTTTTCCATAGGAATGGCCTGTCTTGGATCATGCTTCAGACTTTCCTAAAATCTCTCAAAACAGCAGCATCTGGCCTCAGTGTGCCCCATAGCTCTTGCTACATGGCCCCAGGTCAACAGGAGTAGCAGTCATCTGTAGATAGTTTTGTACCTCATGCCAGTGGCTCCAGAAAGAACACAGGTTGTTTCTGACCTTGGCCTGCTCCTCCTGGGGGACCCCAGAGCCAGTGTACCCTGTGAACAGTTTCAGACCATATTGAAGCACCATCCAACTGCCTCCACAAGCAACACACTTAAGAGGCAGACTCAGCAGGCACCAGAGCCTTGCTGAAGTAAGTGCTGCTCTGTGGGGCAAGCCCTTGAGCAGCTGATCCTCCACAGTGGTCACAGCCAGTCCTTGCAGTTAATTGCTTGGGGGTAAATTCCTCCCATTGATGTGCCAACAGTGATCAGGACTCAACAACAACAGAAGGGTATACAAAGCCCACATGGGGGTTCGAGGTACACCTGAAGTACCCAGCTTAGGTGAATGGGTAGGCTGTGCCACTGGACCCTACAGGAGACCTACTATATTAGGCCACTCTACCAAGCCTGGGAGATGATACATAGAAACAAACATGGGGAGGCTGCCAAAATGAGTAGACAAAGAAAAATGTGCCAAATAAAAGAACAGAACAAAATTCCAGAAAAAGAACTAAACAAAATGGAGACAAGCAATTTACTAGATACAGAGTTCAAAACACTGGTTATAAGGATGCTCAATGAATTTAGGGGAAGAGTAGATGAACTTAGAGATAAATTTAACAGCAATAAAAAAGATAAGGAAACCATAAAAAAGAACCAGTCAGAAATGAAGGATACACTAACTGAAATGGAGAATAATTTACAGGGAATCAACAGCCCCGAGTTGATGAAGTTGAGAAGCAAAACAGTGTGTTGAAATATAAGGAAGCAAAAAACACCCAGTGAGCAGCAAAAAAAAAAGAATAAAAAATAAATGAGGATAGTGTAAGGAGCTTCTGGGACAACTTCAAGTGTACCAATGTTTCCATTATGGGCATGATGAGATGAGAGAGAGTAAGAAATTAAAAACCTATTAAAAAAATAATAGAAAACTTCCCTAACCTGGTGAGGGAAATAAACATATAAGTCTAGGAAGTGCAGAGAGTCTCAAGCAAGATGAACTGAAAGAGGCCCACACCAAGACACATTGTTGTAACGTGTCAGCGAGATAATCAGAGACGCACAGTTGAATTGTAAAGGAGCACTTCATTGCACCGGTGGGCTGAGGGGGTACAGCTTCCCCAGATCCTCAGCCCCAATTCTTCTCGAACACATGGGGCAGCTATAACCTTAGGCAAAATTCCTTTACTTCTAGGGGTGATTAACCTATTATTGGAAAAATATTGAGGAAGGTCCATTAATGATAAAAATGGAGTAATTTAGTCGCCTTAGCCAAGAGGCCTACATAAGAATGGAATCTAGTCACCTTACCTTGGGGCCCAGGTCAACATCATAATTAAAATGAAAAAGGTTAAAGACAAAGAGAGAATCTTTTTTTTTTTTTTTTTTTTTTTTTAATCCTCACCCGAGGACACTTTTCCATTTTTTGTTCAGGTAGAGTGGGAGGGAGAGAGAGGAACAGAGAGAGAGAGAAACATCGATGTGAAAGGAACACATCGAGTGGCCGCCACCCGCACGACCGACCAGGGCCGGGGACAAACTGCAACCAAGGTACGTGCCCTTAGCGGGAACCGAACCCGGGTCTCTCCAGACCGCAGGCCGACGCTCTAACCGCTGAGCCAAACCGGCCAGGGCCAAAGAGAGAATCTTAAAAGCAGCAAGAGAAAAGCAGTTAGTTACCTACAATGGAGCTCCCATAAAACTGATTTCTCAAAAGAAACTTTTCAGGGCAGAAGGGAGTGGCAAGAAATATTCAAAGTGATGAAAAGCAAGGACTTACAACCAAGATTACTCTACCCAGCAAAGCTATTATTTAGAATCAAAGGACATATAAAGAGTTTCCCAGACAAATAAAAGCTAAAGGAGTTCATCACCACCAAACCACTTTATTAAACAATAAAGTGGCAATAAATACATATCTATCAACAATTGAATCTAAAAAACAAAATAAACAAGCAGAATAGAAACAGACTCATAGATACAGAGAACATTTTTGCAGTTGACAGACGAGACGGGTTGGGTGGTCGATAGGGTGAAAAAGTGAAGGAATTATGAAGTACAAATTGGTAGTAACAGCATAGTCATGGGGATGTAAAATACAGCACAAGGAATATAGTCAATAATATCCTAGTAACTGTTTATGGTGTTAGATGGGTACAAGATTTATCAGGATGATTATTTAGTAAGTTATATAATATCTAATCATGCAGTTGTACACCTGAAACTAATATAATATTGTATGTCAACTATAATTAAAAAATAAAATATGATAAAAAAAAAAAAAGAAAAGAAAGCTGAAAACTGTTTTGCTCATGTTGGCAACTGAAAACTGTATAATGTGCTGACTACACTGGGAGATCGTTCTCCGTGGGGCTCTTGTGTTTCTTCATTTCTGTGAGCAGAGACACCACCTTTGTTTCAGACCAGGGGCTGGCAAACTACAGCCCCCAGACCCAACCCAGCCTATGACCCGATTTTGCATGGCTCAAAAGTTAAGATTGTTTTTGCAGTTTTAAAGGGGTGTAAATCTACAACAAAGACAAAGACAATGTAGAATATGTGGGAGATTTGTTAAGTGGCAAAACGTAAAATATTTCCTATCTTACCTATTACTGAAAATGTTGCCTCTCTTCCAGATTATCCTCTCAAAGATGTTTGTATAGTCAACAGCTTTGGAAACTACATAGTGTCTCCCTCCGGAGCAAAGCGCAGGCATGCTTACTTAAAGATTAAATCTTAAAACATTTGGGTTTCCTAAGCTCAGGTTTCCTCTCCTGTAATGCATCTCGTTGAGTAAGTAGGTAGTGGCTCTTCTTGCGCTGCCCGGTGGGAACTGAGCCTCAGGAAGTCGGTGCAGAAATGAGAGTCTGGCTACTCCTATCACTGTGTTCATCTCACACAGGAGTCTCCTGCCTTCTGTCAGTATCCATGAAACTGTGGCAGGCTACCTAGTTGGCTTGCAAGTAGGGTAAATGCTCAGACCCTTTATAAAATCTTGACAACTACTTAAAGATTAATCTTGATGTCGAAAAGAAAATCCATATTAGATGTTCATGAGTAACTGAAATATAACTATATATATTCATACATCTGAGAGGAAAAAATATTTAGAAAAGAGATAAAAAGTATATTAAGAACATATCTGGATCTTTAAAGGTTACCTTGTATGATAAAGTTTTCTTAAATTGTTCACTGAAATAGAAAAGAAATAAGAATTCATCACCATTTTTTAAATACCAAATATTACGAGTAGAAATATTTATAATTTAGAAGAAGCTAAATTATCAACAAAAAATACGTATTTTATCTGGAGTATGTAATACTATCCCGAAGTAAAAACTACGCCAGTTTGAAATGTCTTTATAAAAAGACAAAAGCATGCCATCAATATGTTATCAATTAAAAAACAATTATTTCAAAGTGTTTACACTATTAGGGAAGCACAATCTTTTTTTTTTTTTTTGTCTTCCCTGCATCAGTGCACACAGATTCAATCTGTTTTAAAATGTAGGTTTTATTATTCAGGGGCAGAGGGCCCAACAAATCAGGAGGGGACTGCCATTAGAAAGTTTGTGCCCTGGCCAGTTTGGCTCAGCAGTTAGAGCGTGGGCCCAAGGTCTGAGGGGTCGCTAGTTTGGATTCCTGGTCACTTACCTGGGCACTTACCTGGGTTGCAGATTTGATCCCTTGCCCCAGTTGGGGTCATCTGGGAGGTAAGCAATCAATGTGTCTCTCTCTCATCGCTGTTTCTCTCTCTCTCCCTTCATTCTATCTAGAAATCAATGGAAAAATGTCCTCGAATGAAGACTCTAAAAAAAAAAAAGGCAGTTTGTTCCTCACAGACCCAAGAGGAGGGGCATGTGGTGCCAAGCAGGGCCACAGGAGGAAGCACCCGGGTCAGGAGGAGAGGGAGGCAGAGGGAGGCAGAGGGAGGCAGATCCCTGGGGAAGGCAGGGTGCACAAGCTTCGGGTTGGCTAGTAAGAATAATATGAGCAGTCTCTGGGGCATTGGGCCTGTCCTAGTTGTCTGGTACCTGTTCCTGGGATTCAGGCAGGGAGATAGTGACCCTGGAGATAGTTCCCCAAGGACAAAGGGGGCGAGTTTCAGTAAATCTAGAGATGTGATAAAGCTGGCAGATTTTATTTTATTTATTTATTTACTTTTTAAAATTTTTTTCCTTTATTGATTTTTTAGAGAGAGAGGAAGGGAAAGGGAGAGAGAGAGAGAGAGAGAGAAACATCGATGAGAGGAAACATCGACTGGCTGCCTCCTGCATGCTCCCCGCACTGGGGATCCAGGCCCACAACCTGGGCATGTGCCCCAACTGGGAATCAAACCAGCGACCTCTTGGTGCATGGGTCGACATTCAACCACTGAGCCACACTGGCTGGGCTGAAGCTGGCATATTTTAAATCAAGCTTTAAAATCAGTTAAGTGAGACTGCAGGCTGAATAACTCAAAATAGCATTCTTAAGAATCTTTCTTGTGCTAGACTTAAATTTCTTGGTGGGTTATAAAATATGTACTTTATCTAAATAGATTTAGAACAAAGTAAAATTTCAACTATTGAATAAGCCTCAAGTAATATTTTACTTTTGGCTTGTCTGTAGTTCCTTTGGTTTTTCTCTTACTAGTTGCAATTGTAGTAAAGAACAAAACAAGTCAAGACAAAGAATAAGACTATTATGTGTAGTAGTAACTTTAAGTTACTGAGATAGAAGCTTTTAAGTATAAATACTAATGAAGCATATGAAACATAAATTATAAGATTTCTTAGAAGTAATGATGGGAATGATCAAGAAGTCTTTTTTTTTTTATCCTCACCACCCGAGGACATTTTTCCATTTTTTGTACAGATAGAGTGGGAGGGAGAGAGAGGAAGAGAGAGAGAGGGAAACATCGATGTGAAAGGGACACATCGAGTGGCTGCCATCCGCACAACCAACCAGGGCCGGGGACAAACTGCAACCGAGGTACATGCCCTTAGCAGGAACCGAACCCGGGTCTCTCCGGATCGCAGGCGGACGCTCTAACCACTGAGCACACCGGCCAGGGCAAGAAGTCTTTTTTTTTAAAACACATTATAGGACATTATAGTTTTCCCAAACTAATGTATTTAATTTACTCTATAGTTAAAATGATCAGCACGATTCTCAATAACTATGGCTCAGAGAGTGAAATATCAGGTGAGTGGCCCTGCAGTGGGCTGAGTTAAAGTGATGAGAATTAAACTGTCACCCCCTTCTATGTGGGATAAGAAGGACAGTAAAAATGGCTGTCGAGCTTGCAGACTAATCATCACTACCACGGGCAGTCTTTAAATCTGCTACTACTGTAACTAGTTACTAAGTCTTAACTCTATGCCGCTTCTAAGGGCTTTACATATACATCATGCAATTTCCACAAAAACCTCGAGGTGATTTAGTATTATACCCCCATTCTGTAGACAAAAAGAGATTAGGTAAGTTGCTTGAGGTGAAACAACTTATAGAAGAATGCGGAGCCAATACCTGCACCTAGGAGAAATACTCCCGGATCCTAAGCCGTTAACTGCTATACCTGCTCCCTCTCATAGGGAGTGATTTCCGTTCAGAAGGTACACAGAGAAGTGCTGACACTGTTGACTTCTGGTTGTCTGACTCCCAGACAGACTTGCTTCTCAATTTCAGCAAGAGCTTGATCCAGGAGGAAAATCAAGGGCAGACATAGGGGAGATCCTCTCTTCCTTGTATAACTTATAAACAATACTTGCCATTGTGGAAAGAGGAAACGAGCTCAAAACTGTAATCTCACTGCAACTTTATATCAAAAGAGTTGTGTGCATTGGTTTAATCCCCACGTTGGTGCCTTAGGTAGAACACTGACTTTCACCTTTTTGGAAAGTTAAACTTGGAGGTGTTCTGAATGAAACCGTAACAGCAGGGACAGGAGACAAAGGAAGCCCGTGCTTCGATGCAGTGCTCAATCACCATGTCTGTTGCTACTCCACAAGCATGCAACGCCACCTGGAAAACAAGACCAGAGCTTAGCACTACATTCTTTCCTAACAGTGCTCTTTTTGTGCCCTTTTAAAAGATAATTTTTCTCGGGGACTGATCCCCAAGAGGTTTCAAGTTACCAGACTATTATTCCATAATAGTTTTCATTTGGACACACCAATGAACTAGAACCATTCATATTAATTAAGAAAATTAAGCAAGGTTGAAAAATTACAAAGGGAATATTGTAAATGAAGTATAAGATTCATCCGGTGGAAAATCTGAAGTGATGGAAAATACAATATGTATGCATGTTTAAACTTAGCGCTCTTGCTTTTGGGAATTTAGTTCAGTTGTAGCATTGTAATGAGAACACTAGATTGAAATCAGAATATTTTCTAGTCTAGAACTCTAGTAGGCTGTGTGACTCTGGGCCACTTAAAATTACATTTCTTGCCTGGCTGGTGTGGCTCAGTAGTTGAGCGTGAACCCATGCACCAAGAGGTCCCTGGTTCCACTCCTGGTCAGGGCACATGACCTGGTTTTAGGCTTGATCCCCAGTAGCGGGAGTGGAGGAGACAGCTGATCAGTGTTTCTCTCATCAATGTTTCTATCTCTCTCTCCCTTCCTCTCTAAGAATCAAATAAAAAAATCAAGTAAAAAAATCAATTTCGCCCTGACCGGTTTGGCTCAGTGGTTGGAGCGTCGGCCTGCGGTACACAGAGACCCAGGTTCGGTTCCCGCTAAGGGCACGTACCTCGGTTGCAGTTTGTCCCCGGCCCTGGTTGGTCGTGAGGGTGGCAGCCACTCGATGTGTCCCTTCACATCGATGTTTCTCTCTCTCTCTTCCTCTCTCTCCCTCCCGCTCTATCTGAACAAAAAATGGAAAAATGTCCTTGGGTGAGGATAAAAAATAAATAAAATAAAAAAATCAATTTCTTTGGGCCTTAGTATCCTCAGTTATGGTTATGACATATCATAATGCTGATGCAAGAATTAAATAGAAATATATTTTAAACATTTTTTCAAATGCTGCATAAATAATAATATAATCAGTGCAGTGTAAAACATATTGAATCATATTTATGTAGCATCTTTCCATATTCATATTATAACAGTTCTTAACACTGAATGATGAATTGCATAAACTACTTTCAATGGGTTTGTTGAAAATGAAACATACAATTACATATTAAAATCATGATTAAGGCTTCAATAATTCATGAAAAGAAAAATAACTTTAAAAATTTTTTTAACATTTTTTAAAAACAAATTCCTGAAGTATATCATACTGTATTATAACATAAAGTAGACAATTTTGAAAATTATTAGGCTAAACAAAGCAAAATAAGACTATATAAAAGAAAATCAGATGTAGGAATCTTGAAAGATAAAGCATTTTGTAAAAAAACCCAAAACAACACATTTCCACTTCATTCTGGACAGAGCAAATTGTATTACATTATAATTTCTTTTCTGGGGACATATCTCTCAACTGCAGGGTAGGCAGGGGTGTTTAGAGAAATATCATAAGCCAGATTCCTCTTTTGAATTGGAAAACCAAAAACCATGTTGTGTTAGGAAGAGAGAAGCAAGATCTTGCTCTTAATCCGTTACCTGAATTCGTCCTCCTTCTAAGCTTACATCAACTACGTACAAATCAACAATCCCTACGGTTGCTGTCAACCCACGTTTTCTGTTTCACTCCGAAAACAGAGCCCAGGAAGGCTGCCGTCTAGTGAAGGCAACAAAAACGACAGAGTAATTGGGAGAGTAAAAATCTTGATTTTCCATCTGCCCCTTTTATTTCATTAGCTTTGCAGAGCAAAAATAAGGCTAGTTCTTATTTTCAGGAGTAGCTGGAGAAATCTCATAGTAAAAATTATAGATGCATTTCTCCCTGAAGTAAGAGGAAGAGAACCAACACCCGCTGAGTGCCCTTTACGTACTGGCTCCATGCTGAGCGAGTGCACGCAAATCTTTCTGTGCCCGAAAGACTGTATTATCTCCATGTTAGAAGCAGGGAAACGGAGGCTCTGGAAGTTAAGACAGGGCCCACAACAAGCTCCTGAGGGGCTGGATCCTGACCCCATGGCATTAAGTACATCAGGCTGCTTCCCCACAAAATCCTTTTAAGGTTGTTAAAGAAAAGTTTAGACTATTTCCTTTTATATATCTCTCTTATGTTCACACCTCCATTGCTACATGCAAAAGAGTGCGTTTATTTCCCTCGTTTAAACAAAACAACTAAATCTAAGCACTATTTACATGATGGATTTTAGGTCCAAAAGGTTTTATTGCATCACATGCTCCTAATTTCCACTGCTGTCAAATGCAGGTCAGAAATAACAGGCAAATAATGAAGAGATATTGATCAATGGAACCATGTGAATATGGACATTTAGCATACAACAAAGGAGGCACTTCCTGCCACTAGGAGAAAGATGGACTTCTTAAAGAAGTGATGTTGTTGGGTTATCCTGATAGCTATAAAAAATAAAATTAGATCCTTTCCTTTCATTGCACATAATAAATTTCAAATAAATTAGAGTTTAAAATAAAATTTAAAAAAGATATGAATTCCTCTGTAACTTAGGGGAGTGTGAAATACTTTCCTAACTATGTCTGAAAATCCACATGCAACAGGAGGAAGGTTAATAAATTTGACAAAGTAAAAATTAAATTGAAAAAAAAACCCTCTTAAATGGCAAACCCAATAAGCTGACAGTAAAGTGGGCAAGAGATTTGGAGAGTTCACAAACAAAAATAGACAAATAGGCCTTAAACCAAAATAGTTAACTACTGCTCAAAATAAGAGAAATAAACTTTATTAAGATACTACTTATCACCTATTAAAATAACAAAAATCCTAAAAATTGATGCCAATCTATGGGCCAGGCTATGGAGAAACAAAAATGTCACAGCCCTATGGAGGAGGAATTCAGCAATATTCAGCAAAATTGCACATGTAATTTGCTCTCTCACTTCCAAAACTTTGTTCAAGGGACACATTGGCAAAAATATGAAAAAAGATTTATTTATTGAGGCAACATGTGAAATAACAACAAAATAGAAACTAGTCAATTTGCCACAAATGGAAGACTGATGAATAAAGTATTCTGCAGCTCTAAAAAGAAATGAGGAATATCTCTATACATGGCCGTGGAAGATCTTATTAAATGAAAAACAATGTTAAAAAATTCTCAAACTATTTTCAGTAATCATAGTGCTTTTTAAAAGAACTCTAATGGGTATATCGGGAGATAAAATATGAAATATACGTACATCATTAGGAATCAGATTTTATTTTAGCATAAAAGAAGAGATATATGAGATAAATGATGCTAAGTTCAAATCCCATCATCCTGAATTTAAATTGGAAGTATTAGTATGAACCCATGATGATTTTGTTAAAAAGAAAAAAAGTACTGCCTAGCTCAGACCACTGAGAAGCCTAGAAATAAAGGTCAAACCAGTATCAATGACCATTCCTAGTACCTAGAGTGTGGTAATCTTAATATTATTTTCCTTTCAAAGCATTTAGAGCTCCATGGACAAAGAGCTGATAAGGCAGGAAATACACAAGATGAGCTGGAACAGCCTGTTATTCGAAAGCATGGATGTTACAGGACTACTGAAGCCTTATCAAAAAGATTCAGGGCCCAACTCTAAGAGGCTCCCACTGAACAAAGACTGGAATATTTGGGTATCAATGACAATAACTGCAATGGATTGAAGTATTTGAAATATTAAATCGATGAGACAATAATCATACTGAATAAAACTCACTGGTTACTTTTGGTAGACAACCAACTCACTTTGAAAACTGGAAAATAAAAGAAACAATTTTATCTGGTATTTTCTTTCCGAACTACATCTCATTGTAACCAAATAGGGATTAAGCAAGCAAGCAAAAGAAAAAGCCTCATAGACACAGTCAACAGTATGGTGATTACCAGAGGAAAAAGGGGTTGGGGAAGGTAGAACAGGGTAATGGGGTGAAAAATGGTGATGGAAGGAGACTTGACTTGGGGTGGTGAACGCACGATACAATGATAGGTGATATGTTGTAGAATTGTGCACCTGAAACCTGTATAATTTTATTAAACAATGTCACCTCAATAAATTCAATTAAAAAAGTCAAAGAAGGCAGAATGATAAATTAGAATAGCATCATTTCATAATTCTTATTGAAATAATAGAGCTAGGGCCAATGGTCATGGGTGCTGCTGATGTCACACAGAGGCAGCCAGATGTAAGGGCCTGCAGACAGAACACACCACCACCTCTGAGGCAGCCTTACCCAAAAGTGATCCTGAGCTGATTATGCTGCTATAATCAAGATCTAACGTCCAATTCCTGGACAATATAAGGAACAAGGTAATATGCGAAGCAACACCAGGGGGATGTGATCAGCAAAATCCACACTGTGGAAAACTCTAAAGGAGAAATGGCACGGTTACAGAAACAAATAAACTGCAAGGAAAAATAAAAAGAGACAGGGATGGTGTGATAAGCAGAATGATCACTCAAAGATGTTCACATCCTAATACCTAGAACCTGTCAACATGGCAAAAAAGGATTTTTTGCAAATGTAATTAAGATTAAGCATCTTAAGATAGCAAGATTTTTCTGGATTACATGGGTAAACTCAAATCTAATCACGAGGCCACAGAATAGAGAACTTTCTCAGACAGGGAGAACGAGAGATGAGATAGAAGGAAAAGTCAGAGATTTGAAGCCTGAGAGAGACCTGACCCACCACTGCTGCCTCAGGGTGAGGAGGCCTGAGCCAGGGAACGCTGGTAGCGCTAAAGAAACTGACAAGGATCCCAGCTGAGCCAGCAAGGAACAGGGACCTTAGTCCCACAAGTGCTTGGAGGTGAGTTTTACCAATAATCTGAATGATCCTGGAAGTGGATTCTCTCTCCAGAAAAAAGCCAAACCAAGCCAATGCCTGACGTTGATCTAATGATGCCTGGAGCCAGAGACTAATTGAGCCCACCTGGATTTCTGACCTATAGAAC